GTATGAATAAAGTTTCATTAAATCGAAGGGTAAAAAAAATATTGTAAGGTTGTTGGAAAACACGTATACATGGCTATACTTGCCAAATGGGAATATGTAAAAGGTTGAATTTACAGTAGTTAATAATGAATTGTATCTTGAATTCAATTAAATATTATTCCATTTATAAATTGCCTTATCGTATATAATAATGTTTTCATTTGAATCGTTGTGTTGGTTAAGAATTCAAATGTTTATCCGGATACAGGTCAAGTGTGTGTTTAGTTTGAACTCCCATTTTCCAAGAGCGAGTAATTATTTAAGAGTGCAAACCTTTGTCGTACTTCTAGGAACAACGTTTTACCATCTCTCTCCGCTCAAAAACTGTTTGTTGCTCTTAAAACTGTTTGTATACGCTGTACTCTTAAACACATAAAGGGTAATGATTTACTATAGAAAACTATTACGAGAAGAAAACAACTTACACAAGTAGACTTCTCATCCCATTGTAAAATTTGAAACGAATTTTTAGAGTCTAGTTCATGTACGGTGACATTGATCACTAGTGTCGACGAAATTTCGTTTCCATAATTCTAGGATTAATTTTATGATTTGTGCTTTACTGTTTGGTTATATAATTAGGGGACGAGTTATTGTTTATTATTAGATTGTTTTATTTTACCAAACGAGGCTTTATTTTACTGAAATAATAAGAACACTTTGTAAACAAAACACGACAAACGGACGGAACTAACAATAAAATTGGCTTCAGCTGTTCCATAAGGATGAGAAAAACTAAGGGAGTCTGTTTTTTCTATGAACTCCAACAAAGGTTTTTAGGCTAATGAAGTACTAATGTTTTTATGTATAAACGTATGCAACGTTTCAAAGGATTAGTTTAAGAAATGCATCAACATTTATTTGAATATGAAGTTATAAAGATACCATTCTAGTGTAATATACGTACGTTACAAGGCCGATAATATGTTTTTGTTAATTTCCTTCCCTTTCGAAATTACAGTCAAAAATAAAGAAATTACCATTCAAACTTAATGCACAGTGAAATATATTTTATTTTTAATTACACTCTGTTTCACGACGAATAAGTTATTGTCATTTGAGGACTTTTTCAATTTATGTTAAATTTAAAAACTGAAATATGTGTGTAAACCGATATAATAATCCTGTTAAAGTATTACCAGAAGAGATTAAAAACTCCGGAATCACCGGCTTTCCATTACAACCGGTGTTTCAATTCTTCAAAGTTATTCCTATTTTGAGAATGTAAGCTTTTGTTCTTCCATAACGTTGGTGGACATAAACATCACCGGTAGAACGAATATGCTTTCCATTTAGTAGTTCATTTAGTAGTTTCTATGGTCGTTCACGTACTTAGAACAATATGTAGGCTTCAGAAAAAAAAACTGCCTCAGACCCAGGATATTTTGATTATATATGGCAAATGTAATTCTAAACTAGCCTAAATATAAATGATAACACTGTTTTTGGTCTATAAAATTCAAAATGAACAAAATACACATTCTATTCACTAAACCAAATTCTATCCTTGGAAGAAAATGTATCTCATACGTTAACCTACGTTGTTTATATGCATAAGGAAAGAACGAAATTGAAATGACTTGAAAGAAACTCCATCCACCTTCCAAGCGGATACTCATATTGCATATTACTTCTTGTTTGTATTCAATCACGCTCTTGGTTACCTTAAACATTGATTGAAACAATGTATTTGAAATAATAAAAAATAATTAACGTGTCTGTGATGTTATAAATACAAAATATTTATCAACATAAATAAATTGTCAGTTACAATCCTTTCAACTGACCTAGTGAAATGATAAAACAATTTCATTTTATATATTCATTTAACAATATTTTTGTATATTGTATTTTATTGTACTGTATCTTGAATGGATGAGTAAACGTATACCCGATCATGAGGACTTAATTACGCGTGCTCTTGAAGAAAGACTTTTCATAACGTTTCTTTTACTTTATATTTTACTTAGAAGTGAAAAAAAGACTTAAAGGACCCATATGAAGTTGGCTTTCTATCGGTTATCCACCAATGCGGGTAGCTGCAACTTATAAAATGTTATGTGCTTCCGGACACATCTTGGATGAGTAACGTTTGGGCAGAAACTGAGATAGTATTTGATACATTTCGTTTTTTAACAACTAGACAATGTATATACAAAAAATCGATTTCCGTAGTTTATTTTAGTCAAATATAATATATTTGAAGTTTCACAACAAGAATAAAAATGTAATAACAATCATTCGGTATACGCTACAGTTAAATATGAAGAAAATAACTTTTAAAACATCCAAGGCAATACGACAGTGAGGTTTGTTTTCCTCGGGTTTCAGTAATGTCACTTATTTCCCCGTTTACTCTGCCACAGGCGGTTCTCTAGAGTAATGAAGATGAATGGAGAAACATGGCCTGCCGTTGTAATCTCTACTTTTTCTCAGAGTCAAATTCGACAAATTCTTTGCATGATCGTTATTATTGTCACCTAAATAATTTACTTTAACATAATTTACACAACAAATCCACTCCAAAAAGGGTAACACCTAATAACACGTTTAGATTATATACATAGATGATTATACATTTCGTATCTCTTCTGGTTGTGTAAATAACAAACAACCTAATTTTCATATATCAAATAGTGTTAAGCCCAAATAAAATGCATTTAAACATATTAATAAAAAATTTTAATAAAAAATATGGCGCCATTTTGAAACGTAAAAGGATCATTAATAAATGTTTTCGCCAAATTGTTTGTTTATTAAATACCTTTAAAATGATGTACAACATGACATATGTTTATATTTGAAAATTCTGAGATTCAGTTACCCTAATTTTTTTTGCTCAACCTGTATCGGGGAAAAAGTTAAAATTATTTTTACGTTATTCCTTGAGGTCAATTTAGTGGGAAATAATTGTTTTCAAAAGCCGTTATTCCATAATCAATTTGAGCCAACTTACGTGGGACACCCTGTATAAGGTGCATAAAACGATAATGTAAGAGCAAAATATTTAATTAACATATACATTCTTTCCCTATTGTACATTACCAAACTTTTTGTTGAAGAAGAGTAGTTTATATTAAAATTATAAGGTTTAGTTTAAAACGCTAAATATTCTTAAAGCTCAGACACAATATTGATTTTAAATATACTTAACTGAACATGTTACTAAGCCACAAGACCTTAAACCTCCAAATACAGAGATAAAACTAAATAATGAACAAAAGACTTAAACAACAAAAGTGTCGTGGGAGGAAGTACTTTGTCGTGGGAAATTTCGTGGCTACAGTTGGCAGCATTGCTCACTTCATCACGTGCCAGAGACATAGCCTCGTCTCTCAACTCGTTTGTTATGCTGAATTTAACCTCTTATTCTCAGACCTCTGGGTAATTTATATTATAAATTGCACTCTCAAGCACTAAGCACTTTCAAGTTTGAACTGATGGAAATTATAAATATACTCTGCAAAAGAAGGTATCTACCAAATTTATCGTCAGATTCAAGAACAATGGTTGATCGACAGATCAGTTTTAATTTAATTTTTTGCAATCACCTACTTATTATGTTCCAGTACCTAAAAATATACTTGTGTAAAGGGTTTCAGTACTTAAAAAAAAAATTTTAATTTTTTGTACCGCAGCCATTTTTTAAAGACATTTTTTAAAAATATTTTCTAATTAATTTATGAATACATCAGCTGCTTTGAATCATTTATTTACAAACGAGTGCATTTAAATTCATCCTTCCTTCAACATAATTTTACCAACAATTGGTTAATTTAAATTATTCGTTATATCTCTAAGATTTTTTAATCCTCTTTCAAGGCCATTAGGACAATATAAATATTTGTTTTTTTAGCACTTTGTTTAAAAGTGATTTACGCAACTCTATTTCATGAATTACTTTTATAGCTAAACCAAATTTTGATAAAAAATTTTAAATCAAACGAGAAGTTCAACAATATCTAAGCTCTAGATCAGTACGAGATTAAAGCATTCCCTCACAAGATTAAAGTTTGGGTTAAAGTAAACTTGAAGGTCTTAGAACAATACTTTCGGCCCTGCAAGTGTATTTGATAGTAATTTTAAAATACTTTAATTTGATTTATAACTGTAAAGTTTTGAAATCTTGAGTTATGCACTTTCTCAACTCAAATTTCCAGTAAGAGCTAAAACTATTTGATGCGTGTCTTAAAAATATGTTAAACCTTATATTTAAATTAATTTTGTATAAGTGTGTGTGGTCAAAATATTTTGCTGTCAAACAAATTCAAACGTTCAGTTAACCCCTATACAATGGAGAATATTGTACAACTATGATTATAATTGGTTGAGCAAAGATCGACTTAACAAGCAGCAATTTGGCAAATTAAAGCGGTAACGCTGTAAAATGTGACGCTGAAATTACGCAAATTGAACACTTAAGCTCCGTCTGGCGGCAGAAACTTCAATTACTACGTTTTGTGGGATATGAGTGACATATTGTAATCTTTTATAACCTCTGCAGGTGTTCTACATGCGAGGTATGGATATTGATGTATTTAAAGTTGAATTTGTAAAGTGTAGATTTAATAAATCCTTAATAGTTAAATATTTCATATTAAAATCATAACCATAACGTATCTAAAATCCTCCAAAAGTAGTACATTTTTTCCTATTTATTTGTATTTCAGTTGTTGTTTTGAGATGCGGTCATTTTTCTCCGTTTATGTACTACTAGGATTTAAAATACTAAAACCTCGAGAAGCTTTAGGTTTTTTTTTCTTTAGCATGTAAGCTATTCACAACACCTTAAAATCCCTTTGTACTGATGCAAGGTAATTAATATTTCCCTGCCAAGTTTAATTCCAGATCACTTAACAGAAGGAATGTCTACAACTAACGTAAGAGTTGTAAGGAGTGCCGTTAAAATTTTATATATTTCCTAGTTTAATGTCTATAGTACAGTTTATTGTATATTGCAGGTGGTGATTCAAGAACTTACAGTGTCTCAGTCTACAGATCTGGCGGAGAAACAGTGCAAACCTTTGGACGTCACCAGCTTTGATAAGGTATGTAGGGGTCCAACAAATGCCACTATTACTTACCTTAGCAGATAGTACTACACCATCGTCACATTCACTTAACCATTTTCCAACGTAACCATTTCAATCGTTATTGGGCGTATTAAGGCTACACCTTAGAATGCATTGGATCTGTGATACCTACCTAAAGACATTGTAAATAATATTTTGTTAACGACCATGGATATTTTTCAATTTACCACGCAGTAATTAACTCATTAGATGCTGAAAAATTGCCTAATAATCGTCCTTCTGACCAGTGTAAAGTAGCATTACAAGACCATCCTGAAAAAAGTATAATAATATATGATAGCCCTTAGCTGATGAAAATAAAATAACCCACTGAACTTAGGTATTGTGACATGATTGTTTTAAAAGTTTACTGTCTACATGAACTTACAGCTTTTAAACTTGAGGTTATTTCGTGTTAATGCAGGCAAAGTGATATTTAAAACTCAAAGGGAAAACCCCATTAAATATTTATTACTGGTGAGTCATACAACATGTACGATACAAGTATACAGAACATTACAAACCCATTGACATTGTATAGTGTCCACAACATGTTATGTTTGCTGTTTAGGAAATTATTTAGCCTATCTTAGGACAGAGGCATCCTAAAACCCAAGCCATGTCACTTTATAATAAAACGAAAAACAAGTACTTAAAAATATTTAAAAAAGATGTACCTAACTATCGAATTACATTGCAAACTTCATCGAATTAACAGTTAATTGAACTTATAATAGGTAGGGAATGGTAGGCTTTTGATTTATTTGTATTACTTTTAAGTTAGCGGTCGATTCCCAAAGTTTTTACGTCCCAGAAAACGTACAAGGGTGGGCGGGAGTAAAGTTTGGTCGTTTAGATAAACTGTTTGACATTGCGATATGGTGCGAATTTATCACTGGACAAAACGAGTCTTTGACCTCCGTATTTTGTCAGGCTAACGGTTATTGGGTTGGTATTTATGTTGTTAAGGATGTTAATTACAGATGTTAAATTGGATAGTAGTGGTATAATTGTTCAACTTGCTTGACATATTATAGATAATTGAAGGGGTTTACATTGAAGATGATTCTATTATATTCAACTGATATGCAATGGTCATATCAGTTGAGATGAAAATACACGTATGAAATATAATTTACATAGGTATTGTATTTTTTTTTTTTTTTTTTTTTAATTTGTAGCCTACATTCTACTTTACGGTTAAAACTAATATAAATTTACCTCCGAAGTCGACTATTATTATGCTACATAGAACTTATATGAGTGTTAAAGGACAGTAAAACCCTTTGTTTAGAGATTAATATGGTGGAATATTTTTCGATCAAGTATTGTTATACGAAAAATAAACCCCACGTACCCTATATACAGTATCAAGACCTGAAACTGCTGTCTAACTAGTTAAGGTTTAAACTATACGACAGAACTTAAAACCACTCACCCACTCACCATAGGTTATTAAATTGAGACACAACTAATTAACATATGAATTTGGAGACACATATTTAAATGAGGTTCCACAGAAAGTACTGTTTAATTTGCTGAACATTGACATTCCGAAAAACTAATATCAGAATCTAATTAGGCATAGGATTTAAAAAACGAATAAATAGCACGTGTCTTACAAATAATTAATTTTAAAAATATAAAGAACTTTATTATTGAAGTTAGAAATGTGTTTCGAACTGAAATTCCTCCTTGCATAGCTTTACTTCTCATTATTTCAAATGAATACGAATAAAAATGAAGGAGATTTTAAGTTACAGGTGCGTCGAAAGCTAATTTCGTGTCTACATTGGAGGGACAACCCGCTGTTCCTTATATTATTGCAGGAATCCGGGAATTAATAATCTTCCAGTTCTTTTTATTACAAAAATTTTACTTTGAAATTTATTTCTTGAGTAAAGAATTTAATATTCAGGGTTTTAAGTATTCTGTTATTTTTTTCTGCATGATTAATTCACATTTTATTGAAATTTCACAACTTTTTATTACAAAAGATTGTCGAAGTATTTTGTTTTGAATTATTTTTCCTTAACTTCAGTAAAATATACTTCAGCAAATCAACTTTAAAAGCTTAAAGATTAGTATAGGTGTTTCATAAGCAATAGTTTAACATAAATAAGCAGTGGTAAGGATGAAAAAGTAAAACGTTCTCTTAATGTCGCCTAAAAAGCATACAAATGTGAAAACAATATTGGATGTAACGCACGTTTCGTTGAAACTGGCTTCTGCCAAGTCTTATTGTATTGTTCAGTTATACTCAGTTTAAAATACGTATCTCATATGGGACTTTATTTAGTAAACTTGTTTAGAAAAAATATTGTTAAACTTTGCATAATATTTAAGAATATTTAAATATTTATAATTAGTCCGAGTAAAATGTAGTACATCTGGAAAACATTTTAAAACCAAAGTCAAATACTGTATTAGTAAGCAATGCGGTATATATTTAAAGTAGACGAAATAGTATGGTAAAATTAAACCCCGTAGACACAAAACTGTTTGTGTGAAGCATTTTACTCACAGCATTATTTTACCAATAATAAAAGGGTATCAAATGAAACAGGAATGTATAAATTTAACAGTATGAAAACGAACCAATTTTAAAATACTTTCACTGTAACTCATTGAATAGTTCTAGTATAAAATGTAAATTTGAAAAGTAAAATATAAGCTGACTGTGATTTAAATCATTTAAACATGGAGCCAATAAAAGTATAATGTAAAGTAGACTGGTGAACAAGTCAGGTTTCAGCGAATTTATAATAAAGGGAACAAGCTATTACCGTATGTCTCATGGTAAAACCTAGACCTTTTTCCGTTTTGATGTTACCAGAGGCCAAAAACACCAACCATTCAAATTCATATAAATTTATTGATTGGATTTTAACTAGAATATATCCTTGATAAATGTCATTTTATTCCCTAATAAAATTATGTACCGTGAGAACTTAGGTTTGTTGCTACAGGGGAACTAATAAAGGTATCTTACATCCCCCATGACGTCATCAAAACAAGCGAAAGTCACTCACCGTAAAGTTACTGTGAAAGAATCACATGATTATTACTAATAACCTATCAGCTGATTCAACAATGCCTTGCAAACGTGTCGGATCCTGGTCAGTCTTCGTCTTTGCGGTATAGCGTACGCAACGCGAACGTTCGAGTAGTTGTTTTGATTATTCTGTGAATATTTTGTGTTAGATAGTTTGTGTGAAATGGCTGTCGTGATGACGTAGAATTATGAAATTAATTAGTCGATGTGAGCTCAGTATATGTCTTGTCAACTTTAGAGTTCAGAAACAAGTTCAGTTGAAAACATGTTGAATAAGGTGAGTGCTTGGTTGAAATCGTTGGTTTTACGTAAAATTAATTTTCTCAGTTTTATATTATCATATTAACATTTTGTAAAATTGCATATTACTTATATTTATGCATATTTTTCTCCTACATTAAGCTATGATTGTGTTTTAAGATGAGGTTGATTCTTAAATGTACAATTTAAATCTATCAAGTGTTTGTAGGTCTAACGTAGACAACATTGGTTTCATTACAAGTATGCTTTTGAATCGTGAGTGTTTAAGAATCAATTGATAGTATTCTCGTTGAGCCAACTTGAGTTCGCAATACTGTCTGGTAAGACCTATTTTGTCGGCGCGGACCTGTACGTCGCGGATGAATACCTCGATTCGATTGTTGTTTCTTTCGTATGCTAAATTAACAAGAAGCATGAATTACGTAGTTAGTAAGCTAATGATAGTAAGGTTAGTGTCACATAAAAAATAACAGCTAGAAAAGAAATATGGTTGTTTAATCAAATTAATATTAATAATTTTGATTTAGGTAAGTGACGTATTATTTAGACCAAATTATTTAATTTATTTATTTACCAAATCAGCGTTCTTTCGTCAAGTTTCATTATTATTTTCTCATAAGACTATTTGAAACCAAAAGTGATCAGGTTTAGTCCATAAAAAATACGCATTCAATGAATAAATAATAATGCATATCATAAACAACGGACTATACTGTACAGTATATAACGTAGTTAGTGTTAATTTCTCACTTGAGCTTATATTAACCTGGAATTATAATTGGAACTTATAATTTTGCACATTACTCAGAGCGTTAGGAATTAAAAGTTTTTAAAGAATCGACTAATAAGTTTATAAGTTTGTGCAAAGATTTGAAAGTTCTGTAAGTTGGACGACTGAGAACCGCAAGCTGGACTGAGAGTTGAGACTTGTGATTTAACTCTGCGACTCAAACTTATAAACTACAGTTGGAGCTTTTCAACTTTATGTCGCTATTATTTTGCTTCTCATTGTCTACAATTCGTCTTTTAAACTATTATTTAATTATTGAAACAGTAAATTCCTCCAGTTGTTAATTTATAAGTAGGTTTCTGAGTATATTTTTACTCGAATAGTATTAAGAAGGTAGGGATCTTAAGAAAAGTCATTTTCGTTAAACGTGTTTCTTAAAAAACTGGACACCGTTTTTTACATTGACGTCTTTTCTTTTACAGTCTTTTCTTTTTTACGTTGAAACATGCTTTAGAACTTCTATTAATTTCATGCGCAACCTTCAAAGACAATTTACTGGTACGCTATCGCAGTCCAGGAAAAAGTAATGTTTTTGCTGATAAAATCGTATTTTTAATCAACTTAATAAACGTTTTATGACGAAATCTTCTCCATACATGCAACTTAATTGGTAATTTACTTTGCCTAAAAGAAATATAGGAAAAAAAACGGACGAAACATTTAGTGGTTAGCAAAAAGCTCAATTTCACTACCACAAATATTTTCTTCAACATTAAGTAAAGATATCCGAATAAGACTTAAGCTTTTGGATTTTCAATATAACATTTAATCGAATCTATATTGTTTAGTAACGTAACAGGGTTTAAATGAAAATTAACACAATATTTAATCAGAATTAATCATTATAACACAGTCTGTTTGGTATTGACT